AAACCTTGCCCAGCACCTCGGTCGCCGCGACGCTAGGGCCCCAATAGGCAGGCAATCGGCGCCACCCGCGTCCGGCGGAGGCCTCCAGCCAAAGCTCCCTCGCCCACGCCGTGCCTGCCGTCAGACAGGCCCCGAGCGACGGACCTGAACTCTACGTGACGCTTGACTCAACGACCAGCGAGATTAAGCCCGGTTTAAGAGCGGCATCATCTCACTCAAGGAAACTAGAAATTGTCGCCTGCCCAGTGCTCAGGAGGCTCGCAGTCTCTAGGAAAACTATAGCACCGGGGTTTTTTTGTTTATTTGTTTTTTGCTTTTTGTGCTTGTTGTTTGTTTCTGGCCGAACTCAAAGAGCAAATATTTCTCAGGCAATTGCCAGACAGCGCCGACTTGAAACGTAGAGAGATGCAAACGGCGCTCCGAGCACCTGAGACTTCAAGTCCCAGATCAGGGCTGCTTTTGGTATTCACTCCCAGAGAGCAGCCGCCACGCCCTGTTGAGACACACATGCAGAAGCCTCGCCTGCAACACTCTCTTGTTCAGGTATGTGCCTGGCACTGTGCCTGCTGCAAGCGTAGCCCAGTTTCACTTAAGCTGCGAGACTTGGATGAGTGGAGCTGTTTCCCAGGCCCTCGCTCAACGCCCAGCCCCACCTCGCCCCGCCCCATTCCACCCACCCCGCCCCACCCAACCAGAGCTTCTGGAGTCTAGAGACCAAACTCTTACCACATTTGTTCACATAGAGGTACCAAAATAGAAGATTGCCAGAAAGAGAGATGTTTGGTTACACTTCACAGATGACTGTCACAAGCCAACTTAGCAAAGCAATAAAGGCAGCAGATCCCAAACTGTTGTGAAGCTATGAGCTGTGGACAATAAGACAGGAATAACATTTTATAATGGGGGAAGGGAGTGAGAACATTTTTTTTAAAAAGTCATGTCCCAGTGAGGAAAGAAATGTGAATGTTGTTTGTGATAAATTTTGAACACTGATCTTTATGAATTGCTCATCCCTTATCTAATATATTTAGAAAGCACCCAAGGTAGTCGTCCAAGATGAAATTTTGAACTTAAAATAGTATGGTTTTGAAATTTATTTTTTGAACTTTGCACTTAGGAAGATAACTGGGCAGAATGAGGCAGATTGAATTCCAGGAACCAGATATGAAACCAAATTCGGGTTTTGTGGATGTAATAAATTAATTCACATGCATGTATTCTACTGCCCTCTTAAGGATAAGAAGAAGGTAACCCAGTAAGTCTGAGAATTGAGTGTTTAATTTAGCAGTTTGTATTATTTTGATGAGTAGGAGGCCAATTAAAATAGAACCAGGTTCTTGAAGGGACTTACAAATACTCGGTAAACAGGCCTTCAACTTCAGAAACCAGGAAGAAGAGTCTTCTTAAACCAGGGCTAGTACAAACATGCCGTCAGGGTCACACCTATGCTTTTGGCTACCTGTACAGAATGTGGAAATAATGCAGGAATTTGCTTTCATTTTTTTTGCACTTGAAACATCATTGTTTTCTGAAATGTTTCACACAACTCTTTATCACATTTGTAGTCCTACACTCTATAGTTCAGTGCTGTGAGCCATTTGAAGATAGAAATGAAATCTTATTATTTCTAATATTAGTGTCTAAAATAGTATCTGATACTTTAGATGTTGGACCAATAATTGCTTTTTGAATAAGCTGAATGAAATATCAGCCCAGCCACCAGATGGCAACAAGGTTGTGTGTATAGAAAACATGTGTTATTCATCTGGCTAACCGGAATTCTACCTGACCTTGAGTAACATGCATGTTTCTGAAAAGTTAAATGTATATCTTACCTTGGTAAGCTAAGAATCCTCTTGTAAGATAAATTATCCCAGAGTATAATAACTTATATAAGTACTAATTTTTTATATTAGAGCATATCTGCTCTGGTTTTGTCTAAGAAAGACACTATTTACTTGAATGCTATCAAAGGACTTTTTTTAATATTTATTTTTGGGGTATAGATGGACACAACATAATACCTTTATTTTTATGTGGTGCTGAGGATCAAACCCGGACCCCACCTGTGCTAGGCAAGCACTCTACCACTGAGCCACAATCCCAGCCCCTCAAAGGACTTTTTGTTTTTAATTGTTCTAATTAGTTATACATGACAGAAGAATTCATTTTGATACATTGTACACAAATGGAGCACAACTCTTCATTTTTCTGGCTGTACATGGTGCAAAGTCACATGGGTAGTGTACATGTACACAGGGTAGTAATGTCTGTGTCATTTCAAAGGACTTTTTAAGGGTTCTAAAAGGGTTCTAAAAGCCTTAACCAGGCTTAATTCTATAAAAGCAAAAGTCTATATTCTCCCAATATCAAGTCATTTGCTTGTTTTTTTGTTTTGTTTTGTTGTGTAGCTTTAGTAACTGTTTTCCTGAAACTCATGAAAACTCTGGTCCCCACTACTATACCTCACTAGGTGTATCCTTGGCAGATTATTAATCTTTTTAGTTGCTGTTGTTCTAATTAGTTATACATAACAGCAGAATTCATTTCAGTTCATTGTACACAGACGGAGCACAGCTTTTCATCTCTCTCTCTGGTACTATACAATGTAGAGTTGCACCATATGTACAGTCATACATGTACCTAGGGTAATAATGTTCGTCTCATTCCTCCATCTTTCCTACCCCCATGTCGGTTATTAATTTTATTAACATTCCCCAAATGTAGATAATATCTGCCTTTTGAAGTTGTGAAAAAGATTAAATGAAATTAAACCAGTGGAACATCTGATAACAGTCTTTCATATAGCAGGAACTCAATAACTGGTACTTTTATTATTTAAACTCTACAACAAAAATCTCACTCATATTAGTATTGGTTTATTTATTTTATTCTGTTGATTTAAGACCCTCAGCAATTAAATTGAGCTCATAACACCAGGTTTCATAACGATAGGCCATGCGGATTTGGGCTACATTTGTCTTCCGGATATCATTTCCACTAGGGCCTTCCTCAAGGTAATTGTTGCCCAGAAACTTTGCTTTCTCCTATAAAAGAAAAAGAAGCAGAATGTTGTCTCTTCCCTTTGCCACCACCTCTGTTATAAACAATAACAGAATCTCCCACAAAAATTTATTCCTTTATGTTGGCCACAGGCAAAAGAAAAAAAAAAAAGTAAACCATTACAAGCACTCACTAGTGCTTCAATGTGTATAATCTACTAAGAAATTGTGAGTAATTTTGTTTCCCTTACCCAAGGTATGGCCAGAGAGATAGAATAATCTTTTCTAGTCCCTGTTTCTATCCACAACAAATGCATATGGTTTGTGGAGGGAAAAAATTTGGTGGGGGGGATACAAGGGATTTAACCCAGGGTTGCTTTACCACTGAGCCACATTCTCAGCCCTTTTTATTTTTATTTATTTATTTATTTTTGAGACAGTGTCTTGCTAAGTTGCTGAGGCTGGCCTCCTACCATAGCCTCCCAAGTCACCACATCACCACTTCTGGCTTGGAAAATTTTTTCTACATGTGTTTCTCTAATATTTCAACATTTGAGTTACCAGACCCTTTACTCAGAAGGGTAGCCAATCAAAGACAGTTCTACCTCATGAGAAATTCCACACTGCAGAACACTGTTTCTTGCTACTTCACACATATCACAAGTACTCAGCTTGAAGACTTGTGCAGCAATGGCATATTCTTCCATCAGGGGCTCCTGCAGTTTATTTACATGAAGTAAAAGAAAATGAGAGAGAGAGAGAAGAACACATTAATAAAAGAAATAATATGCATCTTGCACAAAGAGAATAACAAAGCACCTTGATTGACTTTCTTTTTTATTTTTTATTTATTTTATTTATTTTTTTAATTGTTGGTTGTTCAAAATATTACGTAGTTCTTGATATATCATATTTCACACTTTGGTTCAAGTGGGTTATGAACTCCCATTTTTACCCCATATACAGATTGCAGAATCACATCAGTTACACTTCCATTGATTTACATATTGACATACTCATGTCTGTTGTTCTGCTGCCTTTCCTCTCCTCTACTATCCTCCCTCCCCTCCCCTCCCCTCCCCTCTTCTCTCTCTACCCCCTCTACTGTAATTCATTCCTTGATTGACTTTCAAGTTTTGAGTGGGAAATAACCATTGAGGAAAATGTTCTTGTATTGCTCAACATTCCATTTGTGTACCTTGGTGAAGTGGAATTGCATCGGGTCATCTGTAGATAGTGAGATCATTAGCCCTTTCTGGAGGAAATCTAAAAAAGGATTTTTTGCATACTCGAGAAATAGGCTGTTGTTACTTAGTGGTGACATAGCAATGGGAATCTGGGCTAAGAAAAACAAGTACTGTAACACAGGACTCTGAAAAAAAAAAAGATAAAAAACAAGTTTAAGGAGAGTGAAAGAGGAATAGAAACTAGAAACTTTAAAATCTCTTGTTCTACGTGGAACTTCAGCTTCCAACAGAATTATCACCTGCTCTTTAAACTCTTAGTAAAGAAGGATTCTAGTGTTTCAATGTAAGTACTATCCAACATAAATATATTTTGGATTGTACATTTTCAGAAGCATTGAGTCAAACCACGTTGTTTATTTGAACTTTAATTGCTTAAGTAAGATGATCTTAGGCAATTAAAGCTCAAAAGACTTCGACCTGAAACCTACTTTTCCCCAGCCACACGGAAGTTCTGACTCTCACAAGAGACATTTTAAAGCATGCTACAACAAGAAATCTGGCAAAAAGTAACTCAAGGTAAGCCAAACCACCCCTGAATTATCCCTTTTCAGTGTTGTAAACCAGAAGTCAGGAGATCTGCATTAACTCATCCCTTATGGCAACTAGGTAGGTAATCATGTGAGTCCCTTTGCTTGTCTCTATAGAATAAATCACACTCAATAATCTCAAAAATCTTTTATGCTCTCTTGAATTTGATTCCAGTGCTGGAATCAAATACGGTAGGGAGAAAAAAAGACACCTTTATATCCGTGACAAAAATTAATAATAAGAACAGTCTCCAACTTACCTTTTTTAAATTCAGGCCATGAGAGATATTGTCTGCTATCATGAATGCTGTCATGAGGTGGGTGATAGCTCCAGCTTCCCCACAGTGAGGACGGAACAGAAATGTATTCATGCCTCGTTCCCTATGGAAATAAAATTGCCAAAGGAGTTGTAGGTTCCAGGCAGACTGGTTTACAAGAAATTTCAGTAGAAATGCTCTGGAAGAGAGCATCCATCCAAAGGATTCAGCAAAATTGGCAATCCCAATTCAACTTCTTAATACTTCCTAAGTACAAACTTTTTAAAAAAGAGGTAGCAAAGGATATGGAAGTCAGGAGGTAACTAATAGTTGAACTGAAACATCTTCAGTCTCAACAGGAGATGTACCAGCACCACCATCTCAACATTTCTGGTGCTTACACTTTAGAGGAAATGGTTCCAAAGAACTCCATTAGGGACTGGGACTATAACTCAGTGGTAGAGCACATACATGCTTAGCATGTGTGAGGTCCTAGGTTCAATCCCCAGC